GTCATTTTATAGTGTTTTTTGACAGGGAAAGCGGGCGTCAACAAAACAACCGGATCTGGATGACATCGTTTTACCTGAGACTTCCTCACGAAAATTATGAAAATGTGGCTGCGGCCTAGGCGCGGGGGGGGGGGCGTGCACCAGGGGGCCCAACAATAATTATTCTTTAGAATTAATAATGTTCAACAACACCAACAACAACAACAACAACAACAACAATAACGGCGCGCGACCGAGACTTCACTGCAACGTATTGTGCTAAGGCGCGACGCTCACGACGACAAGGAACCGCACTCTCGCAATAGACTTCCTCCCATTGAAACTACGAGTCTCGGGGGCGCGCAAACATGGACTAGCGATCCATGGGTTTGGCGCGGGGTCGCCACCTGCATGGATGGGGGGAGGTGCCCTCCCCAGAATGCGGCCGGTGCCGCCCCGCTCGGCGGCGGAAATCCGCGAGTCCCCAGGGCCGGGGCCCGTCGCTGATCCACGCCCCCTTGACACATGTCTGCGATCGCCTGAGAATCTCGGGCCGGGTGAAAGGGGGCTATAACAACGGGGGGGGGTGAGAATCAGCTCACGTAGCTGATTTTCCCGGCGCCTCCCGGCGCCGGGATGCGCCCATGTATCGAGGCATGGGCCCGGCGGCGGGGCCGAAACCAGCCGCACGCAGCAGATTTCGTCACCCCCCCCTTTCCCTATCCCCCCCTTTCGTCCGGCCCGACCCATGCCTGCGATCGCCTGAGAGCCGTGCTCCCGCCGGAAGCTTCTTCACAATCTGCGAGCTTCGCTTCCGTGTCCCGCGCCGCGGCCCTCTGGGCCCGCCCGCCCGCCACACGCCCGGGCAGGGCCCGCCCGCTCGCCTGCCATGGAGGCCCGCCCGACCCCCGCCGGCCTTTGGGATCTGCCCGGCCGGGCCCACCTGTCGGGTCAGCCTGCCCGACCCGCCCGCTGGCGTCCGCCTGCCACTCCTTCTGACTGCCTCCCAGACCACCCCAACCCGACCCGAAGACCCGAATTTCGGGTTGGGGGGCGGGGGGTATGGGCTCCATGTTTTTTTGCTCGATGTTCCCGGACCCCCCCCCACACTGGAAATGGAGGGCAAATTGAGGCCTTCGGGTTGGGCTGGGGTGGTTTGGTGGGTGGTGACCTTCTGTTCCTCTTCCCCTTCCTCCTGCTGCCTGTTGCGTTCTCGATCCTTTTGGACGCCCGAAACGGGCACGGAAAGGATGGGTAACAAGGCCCAACGACAAAATCTTGTCCCAAAGCAACAGCGGCCACTGTTGGGCAGGCAGCCTGCTGTCTCAAATGGTTACAGGCCGCGGCGACACCAACGAGTCCGGTTCAAAATGAACAGGAACTGCTGTTGGGCATTGTGCACATTCTTTCCGTCCCCACTTCGCTCGTGCCGAATCCTCATGTGCCCCCCCTTGATCCGTGTCGGCGATCGCCCGACCCCCGCACTCCTTCGATCCTTCCCCCCCCCCGCGCCCGCCAGGGGCCGCCCGCCGTGCCCTCCAGGCGCATATGCCGGCGACGCCAGACCTGGCGGGGGGGGGGGGGGGGGGCTGCTCGAGGCGGCGCGCAGGGTGGGGGAGGGGGCAGCGCAGGCCAGTGATGAGGTCGGGCGTGCTCTCCTGCAGGCGGATCTGGGACGAGAAATGAGACACGGTGTCGGATTGACAAAAATGGTCGAAGCATCGTCCCCATAGTGTTTTGGGCTATTTTTGAATCTCCATCCTGTAGAGGGACATGACCGACATAAGGCTGGTGCCTGCCTCCTCCCGCGGCCGCCCGCCTCCGCCCTCCCTGCTGCGCAGGGGGTGGTGGTGGGAGAGATGCAGAGCAGGAGGAGGAAGAGGAGGGAGGGGAGGCATAGGAAGGGATGGAGGGAGGGGATGGAAGGGGACGGGGACGGGGTCGGAGAGGAGGAGGAGGAGGAGGAGGAGGAGGAGAAGGGGTAGGAGGAGGAGGAGGAGGAGGAGGAGGAGGAGGAGGAGGAGGAGGAGGAGGACTGAGGTGAAGGGCCAGAGTGGCTGAGAGAGGAGGGAGGGGAAGGAAGAGGGTGGGGAGGGACTGGATGAGGGAGAGTGGGAGGGAGGGCAAGTTCGCTCAACGTCGGATGTAGCGTACGCCGCCCTCGAAGCATGATGCTGGAGCAGGTGTGAACAGGAATGGGCTGTCTTCACAAGCTGCACATCGTGAGCACCCCAGCGACACGGCACGCTGGAACAGCCCAGAAGGGAGGGGGAAAGAAGGAAGTAGGATTAGGTCGGGCATGTCCCCCTACAGGCAGATTTTGGACGAACAATAAAACAGACCGCCAAAATATTCAAAACACACTCAAGAATGATCAGAACATCGTCCCCATACTATTCTTTGACTCTTTTGGAGCGTTCCCCCTGTAGAGGGACAGGCCCGACTTCAAAGTAGGATGGAGGAGCAGGGTTGGAGGCTCAGCTTCGCTTCCCAACTGATGGGAAAAAGCCTCCGCAGTGCAGCAGCCGACCACAGAAGAAGCAGACAAAGGGGGAGAGGCGTGCGAACGGCAAACTCCGCCCACGAAGAGAATAAGCCGCACGGGCCAGGGCTCGCCGGTGTTCGGTGGCAACTCATGTGAGCCTTCCATACCATCTTGTCGGCTCTTACGCATCGACGCTAGTCGACGCTAAATCGACGCCAAATCGATGCTACTCGGCGCTGGCCGACGCTAAACCGGCGCTATCAGATCGACTCCCAGACGCTGATCGACGCGAATCGACGCTAAAGACGGAGTTGCGAGGGCACGCATGACTTGCCACCGAACCGGTGGGCCCACTGAGAGCGCCTTGAAACGACGGTTGGCGGTGCGCACAAGGGGGTAGGGGGAGGGGGGAGGCTTCTTAGAAGGAGGCTACTTCTCGGAAGGCGCGGGCCTTACATCTGCAGAGAAGGCCCGCGCCTTCTAAGAACCAGGGGTGCTTCTAAGAAGCCTTCCCCCCTCGCCCTGCCCCCCTCTGCGCGTGGCTGAGACTCGGGAGCGTCCAAGAAGGACGTTCAAGAGGGGGGGCGCAAACCATGGCAGGCGGCATGTGCGCGGCCTAGGGGGGGGGGCCGGGACAAGTGCTGAAATAAGAAGAGGTGCCGTGGAATCTGGGGAGATAGAGATATCATGGCCCCTCCATGATATCCACCACCCCCTGGTCATCGCCCCCCTCTCGGCCGCCCCCGAACCCGGCTCTTGGCCTCCCTGGAGTGCCGCCCTCGCTGGCGAGGGGCAACGCTAGCTGCAGAGACCCAACCCTGAGACCCCAGGACGTCCATTGATTCTTGGCGTGGGAGCGTCGGCGCTCTCCACCGCACAGCCATGGGACCCCCGAGAAACCCAGGGCACCCTGGGGGCAAGCAGAGGGTGCCTCCTGGCATGGGCCTCCACTGTGAGGGGGAATCGGCTCAGGTGCGGGAACATCGAGCTGAGCCGGGGGGTACACGTCGTCACCGATGGATCGCCGACGGCCCCCCCGGAGCGGAACCGCACGGGCGATGGGGGGCCCCCCATCCGCGATCCGTGGGCGGTCGGGGGCCGAGGCGCCCACCCTGACACTATCCCTTTTCTCCTGGGAGGGGGGGGGGGGCGCTTACGGCCGAACCAGCTGGGCGGAGCCGCACCTCGGCCCCGCTGCGCTTCCCTGTCGGCGGTCCGGGACCTCGGCGCAGCAGGGCCGCGCTCGAGGGCGAACGGCTCTGGCAGACAGCTGCTGCGGCCGCGAAGCGGTGGCAGACGCACGAGCTTCGGGGCCAGACTTAGGTCGGGCGTGTCCCCCTACAGGCGGATTTTGGGCGGAAAAATACACAACAAATGCACCAACATGTTAGAAAATTGTATAACAAATCGTCCCAAGACAATCTTTTCAGGCTGATTTTGAATATTCCACCTGTAGAGGGACAGGCCCGACTTAAGGCCAGACAGGGGCGCCTCAGGCTGTCGCTGACCCGTGGCTGGCGGTGCGGGCCGTCCATCGTGAGCCTGGTCGGTGCAGATCCCGGTCGGTGCCTTGATGCGGCAAATTCGCGTCGTGTCGACCCTGGCGTTGGCTCCGGACACCGCTTGGATCGTTCAACCTTGAACGATCGGCTGCTTATCGATTGCCAGACCGTTCCAGACTGGGCCGGTTCTGGGCCACTGGCGGCGTTCAACCTCGAACACCCGCGGCGGAGTCGCCGCCAGTCGACGCCACGCGAACCTAATTACCGCATCGACGTGATTTCGGGAGCGGCCAAGAGGGGGGTGTCCAAGAGGGGGGGGTGCAAATCATGACAGGCGGCATGTGCGCGGCCCAGCGGGGGGGCCTGGGACGTAATAAAATAAGAAGAGGCGCCATGAAATCTGAAGAAAAATCATGGCCCGCGCCATGAAATCCCCCCCCCCCCCTAGTCATCACCCCCCTCTTTTCCGCTCCCGATGATTGCAGCTTGGGCTTGACATCGCCGGGGTCCGCTCTTCCGGCGCCCTCCGGGGCCCTCGCGGTCCTCCCCGGGCGGGTGGGGTGCCGTCCCCCGGGCGAGGGCCCGGACCTCCGGGGGGCACAGCGCCGTGACACGAGGCGGAGCGCGACGTCGTAGGATCTGCGCAAGGGAGGACTCGAGGAGGAGCAGGAGGAAGGGGAGAAGGGAGCAGGGAGGACTCGAGGACTCGAGGACTAGAGGGAGGACTCGAGGACTCGAGGAGGAGCAGGCCGCCGAAGGCGGAAGGCACGACTGCGAAATACGACTCTGCGCCCCAGGGCGGCCCGCGCTCCGTGCGGGAAGGAGACTCGAAACGTCTGGGACCACGGGCCAGGCCCTCCCGCGGGGCCCCGGTGGGGCAAGCGCGTAGAAGGCAGGCACTCGCGCAGGGGCGGCTTGGGGCTCCTCCGAGGAGCTGTGGGCTCGGTTTTAAAGTTTTGTTTGGAAATCATTGGACCATTTATTTGGGAACGGAGATCTTTGCTCCGAGCACGAGCATCTTAGCTTTATTCTGACAGAAGCTCGCCTCTCTAGGGGCATTTTTTCGATCTGTTGACTTCCAGGAACCGATGCCATTCCGTGGCCCAGCTGTCACTGGGCGGCTGTCACTGGTCCGTCAATGAGCTGTCCAAGGGAGCTTCCAGTGGGCTGCCAAGGGGCTGTCAGCGAGTCGGCCGTGGCCTGTGCGTGGTCTGTGGGTGGTCTGTCAATGGCCTGGTAAATGGTCTGCCAGTGGTCTGTCAGTGGTCCGTCAGTGGTCTGTCAGTGGTCGGTCAACGGGCTGTCAGTGGTCTGTCAGTGGTCTGTCAATGGTCTGTCGGTAATTAGTCTGTCAGTAGTTCTGTCAGTGGTCTGCCAGCGGTCTGTCAGTGGTCTGTCAGTGGTCTGTCAAAGTCTGTCCGTGATCTGTCAGTGATCTGTCAATGGTCTGCCAATGGTTTGTCAGTGGGCTGCCACTGGTCTGTCAGTGGTCTGTCCGTGGTCTGTCTGTGGTCTGTGAGTGGCCTGTCATGGGGGGGTCACAGTACGAGGCATGGCTGTGACCACAACGTACTTCGACTCTCCCACACTGACAGACCACTGCCAGACCAGCCCACTAAAAAAGACTACAGAGAGGCCACTGACAGGCCACTGACATACCACTGACGGACCATTGACAAACCACCAGACCACTGACACACCACTGGCAGACCATTGACAGGCCACTGACAGACCACTGACGGACCACTGACAAACCACGGACAGACCACGGACGGACCACGGACATACCACTGACGGACCACTGCCAAACCACGGATAGACTACTGACGGACCGCCGACAGACCACTGACGGACCACTGGCACCTCTGACCGGCGTCGAAGGCTGGCATCGCTTTCGAACGCGTGGCCCGATGCTTCAACGGTGCCTATTCTTAAATCGGGCGTATCCCCCTACAGGCCGATTTTGGGCGAAAAATTAAAAATACCCCAAACATGCACTCAAAATGCTCAAAAATGGTAACAAAAAATCGCCAGACTATGTTTTGACTATTTTTGAATATTCCCCATGTAGAGGGACAGGCCCGACTTAAGCCTAATCTGAAGACCACATCGAACAGAAAATAGGGCGTGTGTGTCATGGGTAATGTGTAAGGGTGTAACGGTTGACGTGCGGGTGCAATCAAGAGTGATGGCAAGGATGCGTGGTGAAGATGCAAGCCCCTTGCACGCCCATGGCGAAGCTTTTCGAGCGGGGCTGGCCATCGAGGATGGTTGACGATGGACCGAAGAGGCAAGGGTGCAAGGATACCCTTGGGAACGTCAGTCATCCTGACCATCGGTTTCAACTGTATGGGGTGCGATATACCCGTTGGCGGCGATGGCGGGGGTGGGCGGCGCTCTTGGGGCGGGGGTGTGGGGGTGGTGAGGGCTCCAGATGCCCTGGGGGCGGTGTTTGTCGGCCGCTCTGGTCCTCTGGCCTCGCCGCGGTGCTCTGCGAGTGGCTGCCGAGCAGAGAGGTGCGGGAGGAGTCCCGTCCAGTCCGCCCCTGAACCCGAGTGTCCCGAGAAGTGCCGCTACTCTAGACATCTGAGCGCCGCTTGTGCGACAGCCTGCTCGCATGGAGCCGCTTCTGGGCCCCCACGCCCCTTCGAGCGCCGCTCGCACTGCCCTGCCGCTTGGGCGCGCAGCCCTGGTGGATGCCCCTCGGGGGCCAGCGGGTCGTGCTGAGTTCTTCGCCCGCCTCGCCCGCCTCGCCGCCCCCCCCCCCCTCCCGCGCTGGCTGGCTGCTACCTCGAGACGGGCCCGCTCTCCAGCGGGCAGCGCCCACAGAGCTGGGCCCTCCGGTCTTCCCGGGGACCCTGTCTGGCCCGAGGCTCCACGGCCTCGGCCCGCATTCGCGGCGCCACCTGGGCGAGAAGCTCCCCCCCCCACTTTTCCCCTTGGCAGGTGGGCGGGGACCAGGAGGAACGAGCGCCGAAGGAACAGAAAGGAGGAGATAACTCGAGGCGCACGGGACAAGGAAGGCCCAGAGGAGAGGACGCTCTCGAGCACTGCACCTCGCGCGAGAAGCGAGGCAAAACGGGCGCGCTGATGCGTCCAGCCGCTACGTACTTTTTTGCCGCATCTCCGACACGACGCGCGAGGCCTCGCGCTCCAATGGCCCCCGAGGGGCTGGGCCCGTCACCCGCTCGATCACCTGCACCTCAACCGCGTGCTTGATGGCCGCCAGCCAAGTCTCCACCATCACAGACTCCCGAAGGACGGCCCCCCAATGCTTCCACACCGGGTCGCGAACGGCCTCGTCCGCGCGGGGGCCTCCGACCTGTGACGCCGGCCATCGCGCGGTGCAGCGCTGTGACGAACGCTGCGATGTGCGGCGTCCCTCGTTCGCGGAAGTCGACCAACTCGCCGCTCTTCTGCTTCTCCTTTCATGGGTGCCGAAACTCTGTCGTGCTCCAGGCCGGCGCCGCAAGCCACCGTGCCGATGTGTGCCTCGTTGCTCTCTGCGCAGAAATACCTGCCGTGCGCGGCCGGGCGCCGCGATCTGGCGGGCGCCCGTCACCACCAGCTTGGCCAGCATGAACACAAGCCTCTCGAGGTCGTCCCAATGCGCTGTGCTGCCGCCGCCGCCGTTGCCCTTGCCAGCCTGCTTGCGAGCCTTCAGCTCGCCCTGGCCCTCATAAGGCTGGGCAAGCCCCGCCGAGCGCTTCATCCACGTCGGCGTCGCGATCTCCGACGCGGCGACGGCGCTGTCCAAGGAATTCACTACGGGGCCGATCCCGCGTTGCTTTCCATGGAAGGTGAACCAACATATGGCCACTGTGCTCTCGATACTCGCCTCCCTCGAATTCGCGCAACCCACGTCGATAGTGAGATGGCCCACTAAAAGTTCGCAACAAACAATGGCCCCCCTATCCCGCAATGACCTCGCGCCATTGCACGAGGCAAATGTCGAGCGGCAGCGGTGGATGATCGGACGGATCTGTCGCAGATCGGCCAGTGGTTCGCCTCAACGGGCACGCGCCCCAAATTGCGCATGCGACGTCGATGTAATCTAAGATGCCCCATCAGGCCTGTAGCGGCCCAGGAAGCCCAGGCACGCTGCTGCCCGTCGCCCAGAAGGGCCGAGCACTTGCAGGGGGGCGCAATTTCCAGCGCGCATTCGGAGTGAGAGCTGTTCAGCACTGCCCCCCCCCCCCGCCCCCCGCCGAAAGCAAAGGGGGGGGGGCTTCCAGAGACTTGCGATATCCGCGAGCCCTCCGAACATCAAATTATCTAAACTCTCTCATCACCTCTTCCTGCTCGATCAGAAGCCAGGGGCAGGTATTTATCTATCCTAATAGCTCAGCGTGCGCGGCCAGGGCAATCGCCAGCATCTGCGTCGCAATCGCCCCCGACCCGCTTTGCCCTCAGGTGAAGCCCACTCCGTTAGACCAGATTCACCACGCGGCTCATGCTCGCGTCGTTAAGAAGCCGCAAAAAGTGCGGCGGGTGGCCGCGCGCATTCATTTGGTTGACGTCGAGCTCTGATGCCGCGCCAATCTTCCAGAAAGGAACTCCAACTTGCTAAATGCGAAGTCCCAGTGCTGACGAATTTCTGCAAAGGGAAGAGGGCGATTCGAATCGTCTTCTCTCTCCGCGCAGGCAACGCCCCGCGTCGCAGCGCGAGCTGGACGGGCAAGACGGCGACCTATCGCACAATCCGATGTTTGTCACTCAAGATGAATGCCCCCATGCCCGAGCGTAAGGAACCCTGCGCAAGTTCGACAAAAATGGCGCGATTCCACTGCTTCGGGCCACGCCGTGACAAAAAAAAGGCTCCGCGCTACGATTGTCCGATGTGGCTGCTACCATTCCCCTCTGAAGCGCAGGCGCTGACAACGTGTGCGGGATGGTGACAGGACCTGCATAGCGATCTGCACCGCGTGCTGCTCCATCTAGCTCCTTGCCTTGCATGCCGCTGCCCCCAGCCCCCCAATTAAACTGTTTTCGTATGTCTACGGCCCGCAACTGCGCCGGCGCAGTACATGCACCTGAAAACGCATGAACATTGCATGAGCCTCCCATAAGTCCACCCACCTCTGTCTTGACTACCAGAATGCCTGATGTAGTTCCTACTTCTACAACTGAGAGGCGATCGCGCTACTTGCATCGGGCTCGGTCATGGCGCGGGGCAACATCATTCACCGCCTCATCTACGTAGTTGTTTCTGGCTGCGCGCTGCCAAATGCATGCGATAATTCGTCCATGGAAGTAGCATGTGCCCATCCCGCCGGTCGAAGTCGGAAAGTAAGATCATCGCACTCGCCATCGCGTCTTCTCGGCGTCGGCGTCGAGCAAAGCCGCGATCTGAATCGGGCCATCGTCGCGCAAGTCGCATCGCGTAGAATGCCTCGCCCATCGACGCGGGCGCACGCGTAAGCCGACGACCTCGCGGACCTGGACCGGGCGATTTTAGGGGGCCCGCCCTGCAAGATCGACGCCAGCGCGCCGAAGTCATCTGAAACCGTCGCATCTGAGCAATTGCCAAGTGGAAGAACTCATTCAAGACCGTCATTTCTGGAACCTCTCCTGGCACCCCAAGGGAAAACCTTCGCCCGCTTCTGGAAGGCCCTGTGCGGGATTCAGCAGCGCCAGGACGCCTCGCCGCTGCCGGAATGGAGGAGGGTGAAGGAGGCGGGAGGAAAACGGAGGGAGGATGGAGGGAGGAGGTGAGGAACCATGGCGCCCTCCCCCCTCGCGCGAGGGGGCCCGCAGGAAGCTGCTGCGCTTCCACAGCGTCGCCTGCCACGCCGGCCGCGCTGCCTCGTCCGGCTCCGCGCCGGGGGGGGGCCCTGGGGCCCCCGCGCAGGGCGCGCAGGTCATTGCGGAGGGCGTGGCCCTGTGGGGGGGCGGCTGCGTGACCTGCGTCGTCGTGCTTTCCCTCCCCGTCTCCCCCTCCTCGCCCCCAAACTCCTCCGCCTCCTCCGCCTCCGCCTCCTTCTCCTCCTCCTCCTCCTCCTCCTCCTCCTCCTCCTCCTCCTCCCCCTCGGCACCTGCAACCACGAGCGACCTTCGTTACGAGGTGATGCCCCACCACGGCCGCTCGATGCGCTAGGGCGTCCGTCAGTTGGACGCAATCATGATGTCATCTGCGCACGTTCGGGCCTTGTCGGCTGACTGGCGACCCTACTATGGGTTGGCAGTTAATCAAGACGAACCCAGACCTCCGACACTCTGACCTTTTCAGTCTGGGCGTTTTTCCTCGACTTCGGCCTCTGAGGCCGCCAGAGGGCCCCAGGGCCATCAAGAATGGGTCCAGGACGGAGAGCTACTTCTGGGGAAGGGGTCAGGACCTCTTGGGGCCGCGCATGGGTCAAATCACATCGTCGGATGTCTGGGAAGCCAGGACTGGGGCAGAATCGGGCTGGAATACATTGGAGACCTCCCAGATCTGGCCGCGACGCCCTCTCGCGAACCGAAAACGGTCAATTCGCTAATCGACCCGTCAGGGTAGGAGGTCTATCAACCTCCGACTAATTATGCGTCCTGCACTCCTCTTTGAAGCCTCCAGGAGTCTCCCCGTCGGTCGTCGCGGGGGGGGTGCGTTTTCCCCCGGGGAAAAGGTGCTCGTTTAAAGAGGAGGGGAGCGCGACCACCGAACTTCACACGACTCGGCCTCAACCGCTGTGCAAACCAGAACCTCGCCAGGCAAGCTAGAAGCTCCACACACAAGCCGACCTGCGATGGGCAAACTCATGCAGTAAACCGTGGCCTGAGGGGGGGGTACTCAGTGCACTCCTCCCCCTCCTCCTCCTCCTCCTCCTCCGCCTCCTCCTCCTCCTCCTCCTCCTCCTCCTCCTCCTCCTCCTCCTCCTCCTCCTCCTCCCCCTCATCCAGCCATGCTTTGCAGGAAGCCAATCCTTGAAATACTCCCCCTCCCCCACATCGCAAAACCTCCCTCTCCTCGCTCCCCGCCCCCGCCCCACAGCGCCGCCCCGCCTCCGCGCAGAACCCGGCGCGCCTCCCTCCAACGCGCGCGCGTCCCGCGCGCGCGCGCGTCGCGCGCGGCGCCGGCGCGCGCGAGGGTCGCGCGTGAACACGCCTCGAGAACCGAGGCTGGCATTGCGCGCCGCTGGTCGCCGTTGGTCGCCGTGGCGGCCGTCGCCGTCGAGGCCCTCGTTGTCGTCGTCGCCGCCGACGTCGGTGTCGAGGAGAGGGGAGGGGGATCGCGCATCCAAGGGCCCGTCAGTTCGACCGACCGATTGGGGGGAGGGGGGAGGATGAGGAGGGGGAGAAATGTGCAAGAGGGCTGGGGAGGAGGAGGACGAGGACGGGGGGGGAAGAGGAGTGGGGGAGAGGGGAAATGGAGAGGCGAAGGGGAAATGGGAATCCTCCGCCTCCCAGCCTTTCTCCTCTTCCTTTTTCGATGTGTGCAAAAGGCCCTTCGACGCAAGGCCAACCCAACCCATACTGAAGTACGCCAGCATCCTTTTAATCGTCTTCGTCGTAAGGGTGATCGAACAAACATGGGGGATCGTACACTGTCTCAATTCCCCCGGGGTCGCGACCGTCGGAGGGACAAGGGGACAGGGAGGGGTCCACTGTGGCGGCCTCCACTGTGGCGGTGTCCGTTGGCAGGGGAACTCAGGAACCCTTCCCCCGCACTGGCCATGGTCCCGGCCCTGGTCCGCCCCAGCCCAACCCGGTCAGGGCCCTGAACCTTTGCCCCGGCCCCACCCCCAGCCCTGGCCTGGGCCTCTTCCTCCTCCTCCTCCTCCTCCTCCTCCTCCTCCTCCTCCTCGCCTCCTCCTCTTCCTCCTCCTCTTCCTCCTCCTCGTCCCTCCTCCTCCTCCTCCTCCTCCTCCTCCGCCTCCTCCTCCTCCATTCCTTTTCTCGCGAAGAACTTCTCCCAGTCGCACCCCGAAGCAATCTTTTACGGCGGCCCGGGCGTTTCGCCAGAGATTTCCTCACCATTTACGATCCTGGAGCTTAAACATTGGCACCAGTTTCAGGAGGGCGGGTCGTTACTCCAGATTTCGTAATAAAGGGAGGGGGGTCTCATTTCGGGGGGGGTCTCTTCCGGGCTATCTTGGAGGGCCTGGGGGGGTCTGGGGACGATGTTTTGGAGGGTTCTCCCACGGGGGGGGGGTCTGAAATGGCTTGTCTTGGAGGGTCCAGATCCCCTCCCTGTTATTACGAAATCTGGAGTAGAGAAATTTGGCTCTCGCCGCAGCTCCGCGCACATTCGTTTTTAAACGCGTGATATTTTGCTCGGGCAAGAAGCGAGACGAGAGGAGAAGGGGCCCGTCCAGGGGCACGAAACAGGGAAATCTGCGGCCCCTCTGGGAGGCTTTCCTTGCCCAGGTACCCGAACAATGAGTACGCCAGCATGGTCAGCAAGCTGAGGCTGAACAGCGACTGGCACTGGGCACGCAAAAAAGTGGATCGCCTTTGGCTCCGGGGGGGCACGATTTGTCCGCCCCATTGGTGCCGACAGGATGCACCAGCAAACTGTCAGAACGGAGGAAGAGAGGAAGATGAGGAAGAGGAGGGGAGGAACGGGACGAGAGAGCCCAGCCAAACGCCAGGAGCAGCGTTCAAGCCAACCTGCAATAGGCGAGCCATCGCGCGCACCCTGGGAATGGAGCGCTGCGCGGTGGGGCAGGCTTATTTACCGCAGAGGTCATCGCCCGACTGCTCGGCAGTCTGGGCGCACACATAACCGCTGCACCGCAAGCGAAGCGAGAGAAAACAAGGAGAGAGGCAGGCGACAGCAGACAACAATGATACAAACATGCCCCGTATTCGTATCATAGCGAGGCGGGCTGGGCAACCCAGGATATCATATACAACTAATAAGACGAAGCGAGCGGCGCACCGAATTGCGACCGAGCAAAGCAGAGGCGGAGACCCCCGGGAACAAACCCAAAAACAGGGGAGGGGGAAATTCCGTACAAAACAAAAGTTTTGTACGGAATTTCCCCCTTCCATGTTTTGGCCCCCGCCCGCGGGGGGGAGGGAGGAAAGAGAAACAAGAAACAGAGCGCCGAGGCGAATGAGAAGAAAGGAGACATGTTGCGAAGCTGCTGTGCCACAGAGTGGGCCTATATATATATATACACACACACTGACGAACGAAAACGGCACAATGAACAAATGACATGCGCGCGCTGAGACAGGCAGGGAGGGGGCATGAACGGAGGAGGAGGGAACATCCAATCCAAAAGAAACCAGACCCGCCGTTGCGACAGGTACCTCACTGCACACCGCGGGGCCTCCTGCGTGCAAGTGCGAGGAAAAACGCCTTGGGGTGGCTTTGGGCTGCCTCTCTCACGAATGTGGGAAAAGCCTCCTGCACAGCGAGAGGCTGCCACAAACCGTGGCGCGCACTGCCGCGCGCGCGGTAAAGCGCGAAAACACCAAGGGCTCGCAGAACAGGTGCATGCTGCTCGCACCTCCCCTGCTGGGTATACTGCTGGAAGAGCTGGGAGGTAGGGGGTTACGCCCAGAAAATCTTCTAGGCACTGCGGCTTTGGAGGCATGCTGAGACCGAGGTGGCGCTGACATAATCGGTGAAAACACCGGCAGCCAGCGTAATGCTCTATGCTGTCTTCTCCCGCGGGGCAGCCCAAAATGAAGCGCCAAATCCCCGCCCTCGGAAACCGTCGGGTGGTGACCCAACCGTTGCAAACAGAGCGAAGGGAGGCCGCAAGCACCCGAGGCGGGGCATGCCCTTGGGTAGTTCTTTGCCCCCTTTAGGGTATCTCCTTGAAGTTGTCTTTATTTATCGCGCAACTGGAGGGCACGCATAACTTTTTATTCCGCTACGGTGATGCGCAATCCGCACATCATATCACGCTGCCACGCGCTAGTAGCATCAGTCTTGGCACGCAGCAAGTGCGCAACAATGGAATGGGCACGGGCGGCGGGACAGACGAACAGGCGGCGGGGGCAACGGGGGAGGGGGCGATGGCTGGGGGGAAGGGGGGGAAGGAGGGGAGGAGCGGCGCGAGGGCGGATCTGGACAGGCAGCGAGGCAGGGGCGCAAGGCAAAGAGGGGGGGCAGGACGGGTGCGGGCCCAGGGGCGCGCGCCCAAACCGAGCACCCACGAACAACGTCTATGCCGCCCACGCGCACACCCCACCCCCGATCTGAAAGCCAAGGGCGCGCGCGGGGACGGTCTAGACGTTGCTCGTGGACACTTGCTTTGGACGCGCGCCCCTGGGCCCGCACCCCTTGCCCCCCTCCCCGCCCTGCACCCTCCCTCGCGTCCTGTCCACGTCCGCTCTCACGCCGCTCCTCCCCACAGCCACCACCACCCTTCCCCCAGCAATCGCCCCCCTCCCCCGTCGCCCCCGCCGCCCGCTCGTCTTTCCCGCTGCCCGTGCCTCCTACGTTGATGTGCACTTGCTGCGTGCCAAGACTGATGCTATAAACGCGTCGCAGCGTTGTCATGACGTGCTAATTGCGTTTCGGCGTAGCGGGATAAGAAGTCATGGGTGGCCATGCATATGCGCGATAACTAAAGACACTTTCATTGGTATACCCCAGCGGCGGCCAAGAACAACCCCATGCACGGGGTCCCTCACGTTTCAGATGTAGATAAGGGCAATCGGACACGTGGCAAACAAGGGTTTGGAAACGAGGCCAGCCGTGAATGACCATGTTGATGCGTTGACTCCAATGCCCCATCTTGGGGGCGCCTCGGGCGAGCATATCCCTGTTAGCAAGACGCAAGATAACCAGCATGGAAGCTAGCTTGGGGTCGTATGTTGTTGTAGTGGCCGTTGTCCCTACTCGCCCTCGTTCTTCTCACATCCCTCCTCCCCCCATCTCTCTCCTCCCACCTTCTCCTCCCTCCTAGCCGACATCACCCGCCCCCTCCGACCCCCAGCGCAGTCCGAACGGTGCCTGGCCCGAGGCACACCCTCCGACACGCGTGGCACGCCTCCTTTTTTTTCCCCATGCTCGCACGCACGTCTGACCTATGTTTGACCTACGGGGCACTGGCAGTCTGGCATGCTCGGGAGGAGGAGCGATCGACACGACACCGACCCACCGTTCCGCCCTTCGTTGATCCCTCACGTTGCCCCATCGACTCATCGAGCAGCTCTCAACGCCAAGTGCTAGCGCGGCTGCCAGCATATCACGGGTGGCAGCTCTGTACAGCTTGCGCAATTCCTACATACAAAGCCCTGCACAACGACCGCCACGAAACGTCCTCTCGGCACGCTGGGTCTCCAAAAAATCCGCCGAGTGCAAGACAGATGCTGATGTCTACCTGGCTGTGAGAGCCTGCGAAAGCAAAACAAAACTAATCGCGCAGAGCGCGCCCCTCCTCGGCACAGCGCATGATACCGAGCACGCAAGGGCTGATGCGGTCCATGGTTCCCTCCTGCTTTGCCTTCTCACGCTGGCCCTGGATCTTGATTTTCAGCTGGCCGCGGTCCGTGACCGCCACCAAGATCGAAGTGATTTTGATCTCGCGGGCGGTGAGCATCGAGAGATCGGCGAGCTCCTTCGAGGCGCCGTACCAGCCGATGTCTCCGGAGGCCACGCCGAACTTCTCGGCGAAAGCCTGAACCTGAGTAGCGACGGCGCTGGCCCCTTGCAAATAAAAAACCTTCCTCCGTCCTCCTGGCCCGTCCTCCCCCGACCTCCCCCGTCCGCCTCATTGTCCTCGTCCTCCATCCCCCGTCATCACCCCCGTCCCCTCCGTTCCCTCCTTGTTACCCGTGCCCCATCCTACTTGCCCCACCCCGCCCCCGCGCCTGCCCACCCCTCTCCATTCCCCTATGTACCACTATCACCCCTCATCTCCCCTATTGCTCCATTCCTATCACCTGACCCTCCAGCCCCTCCCTCCTCCTGCCCTCGCCCTGCCCTTCACTCCCGCCTCGTCCGTGCCACCCCCCTCCCCCTGCCCTTCACCCTTCCCCTCCTTGCCCTCCCACTGCCATCCTCCTCGTCGTCCTCACCAGGGTCTGCCAGCCGAGCTGAATGGGGCGAGCCTGAGGACCTGGCCCCTGCAATCGAGGCCTGGAGCTTCCCATTCGCCAAGGCAAACGCCGTCGGCGCGATCTTGGCCAGCGTGTTGGTCAGGGTGGAGCGCAGCTTCTTCATGCCGTCTTTGGCGGTGAGCTTGTCCGACCACGTGCCCTCGGCGCCGTCCACGCGTCCGCCAGCGACCTGGCGGAAAGAGGTCTTCTCCTTCCCCTTCGGCTCGTAGGGCGAGTCGGCGATGGAGCCGAACTCCGCGCGCAACGTGGCGAAATGCAGCTGGATCCCCTCCTCCACGACCGCCGTCATGGAGCGGGTGAAGCCGTCGAGGGTCTCGAACTTCAGCGCGTGGCCGTCCCCGACGTCCTGCCTCAGCTTATCGATGAGCTTGCGCCCAGAGTGGACCTCCTCGAGGAGCTTCATGTTGACGGACTTCTTGCCGCTGGTATCCTCGACGAGGCAGCAGGCAACCTTCGGGCGCACCTGCGAGGCGGCAGTCAGGAGCTGGGTGACCGCATTGCCGAAGGCCTCGCCCTTCTCGGAGGTGCATCGGGTGAGCAAAGTCAGCGCGGGGGTCACATCCGCGATGAGGTCGGCATTGTCAGTCTCGCCCAGGCTATCGATGAGGCCCTGCGCCGTCAAAGCCAAGACTGAGCGCACCTTGCTGTCCAGCGTGCGAAGCCTGTCAGCATCTGTGGTGGCCGACGCGGTCGTTAGGAGATCATTGAGCTGGGAGCGCTTCAAAGGGTCGGTCAGGACGTCTCGGGCAGTGCTGGCGCCGAACGCGGGTTCCAAGGAGGCCACCGACACTCTTGAAGACAGCAGGGGTTGACATTCCTTCGCCTTCGTCAGCGCGAGCTCCCAGTCAGGCGTGCGCTGCGGGAACTTGCCAACCTTGATCACCTGCTCAAGGATGTCAACCGCGCCCTTCGCCTTCTGCACCACGATCACCGCGTCGTCCTCCGACCCGAGGAAGTCGAAGGACTGGATCTTCACTGCGAACTCCTGGACGAAGTGCGACATCGGCTCCGTGACGATGGCGTCGCAACCTGTCCTGGCGTCCCTGCGCCAGGTGCCGAGCAAACCCACTGCCTTGGCGACGCAGCACTGGCGAGCTACCTCGTCACCAGCCGCGTGGAACTCCTCGACCGTCTCCTGCATGGCCTCCAAAGTGTCGGTGTGCGTATCCGTCTTCTTGGACGCGTCGGCGAACAGCGGCCTCACGAACTCGGACGACGACATCAGCTTCAAGGTCTCCGCGCGCATCGACGAAGTCGACTGCTCACTGGGCCCCCCCGAGACCAGGTCCTTGAAGTCCGTGGCGTTCTCCACGTCCGCGATATCCAAGACGTGTGCGACTCCCCGAAAACAGATGGCAATGTCAATCGCCGCCTGCACGAGGCCCTGGGCGCAGTTCTCCTTGACCTCAAGAACAGATGTGGCGAGCTTGTCCAGGATGTCTTTGACCTCTATGTGGTTGCCGTGGGTAGCGAGCTCGATCAAGGGCTTCATGATGTACTGCGCCGCCAGTCGGACCTGCGCCTCAATCATCTCGTCTGGCGGTGCACCCACGTCGCGAAGAAGAGGGGGACATCCCGTCAAAGTCGTCCGCGCTGCTGACGGCGATCTTCGGGCAACGCTGAAAGCTCAAAGACAGAAACGGGACGTGCATACTTCGGATCAAGGTTTCCCTGGGGCCCTTCGGAGACCTCCCAAGTCACTCACGCAACCCGAGCTCCCCTCCCCGACAGACCCCGCTAAGTCCGCCATTCTGCGTGCACAGGGCCCAGACCCGAGGTGGCGAAGCGGCCGCGGAGCCCTCTGGATACTTCCCAAGGAACCAACAAACGTGAGATTCCAGAATCGGGCCCAAACCGAACAGACCTAACACTCAGAAGCCCGATTGCCTAAACGTCGGAAACATCTCTTCACAAGGTGCTCCATCTTTTGGGGCCCAGACCTTGACCAGATCCAAGGATGCCTCCCAGTCGTCGCCGCCCATCGTCTCGCAGGCGCGCGTCGACGTCTTCTGCAAGGTGCGCTCCGCCATGGCCTCCTGCTGCTTGGTCGTAAAGATGATCCCGTACTTCATCATGCTGCTGACCTTGCCAGCGAACTCTTCCTGCTCCCAAGTGAGGATGTTCTGGGGAATGGCGAATGCGACGGCCGTGGTCATCAAGGTGTAGGCCGTCTCCATCCTGGACACCTTCGCGAGCTCCTTCTGCCTGTTCGGCTCTTGCAAGGCCTTTGCCGCCAACTTCACAGTGTCCATGTACTCCTTGAAGCGCCTGATCTTCTGCGACTTGTTAACCCCGTTGATGATATCGTCGAGGCTGATCGCATTAATCTTGGCAGTCGTCGGGGACTTCGGATCGCCTGAATCAATGACGGTTGCCTCGGTGCCGCTCTTCTCAGTCTTGGACCTCTTGAGCGGGTTGGGCGTCGACGGAGATCCCGAGGAGCTGGCGGCGCTGTTAAGCGACGGACCTGCGGCGAATGCCACGACAGTTCCAGCGTTATCAGCTCCATCTGATTCATCTCCCTGGCTCACAGGCAAACCATCATCAAGCTCCTCTGAAGGCTTGCCCTCTGCGAGGCCCTCGAGGCGAAGGCGCAAATCGCTGGGCTGGATCGCGCTCAACCGCAGCGCCTTCGCAATCGGGTCCTCGATGCCGCCCGCTTTCACTGGCTTTGTCAAGTAGGCGTGAACCTCGCTCCCCTGCTTTGCGCGCACCTGCTGCTCGGGCTCCATCTTGAACTCCGCGAGTAGGGCGTTGATGTCTAAATACCTGACGTATACGAGCCCAGTCTTCGGGATCGTCCCGTCGTCCACGACTAGTATGCCCTGGTACTTGTCGCCGCTGGGGTCTGGCAAGAGCTGGACTTTGTAGCCCAGTGACTCGTGGCTCGCCTTGAAGCTGTCCAGGAAGAGCTCCTTAGTGTACCCACGTAGCTTGAGCTTGACGCAGAAGCCCTGCTGCGTCTGCGACTTCACCTCTGACGGGAACCAATGCTTCTGCACGCCGCCACATGCGTAGCGCCGCTCCACCTGCCATTGGGTCGCCTTCTCGGAGTTCGCGTTGACCTCGCCTGCTACCTCCTCCCACGACCCGTCCATCTCCCTCGAGCGGAAGACGATGTTGCATGGGAAGCAGCGGTCCCCGATCGCCTCCAATTCGACCTTGCCGCTCGGCTTGAGGATCTGCTGCCACTGCCCCCACGTCCCGTCAGGCTCGTGCTTGGCCCCACAGACACGGATCCTGCACTTGAGCTCAGCGCCCCCTCTGTCACCACTGCCTTTCACATCTTTCTTCGCCTTCTTCTTGGCCGCCAATGCCGTCTCCACGGGCCGTTTCGATCCCTGGTGGGGGGCCGAACTGGAGGCAGCGCCCTTCTTCATTGCTGGGCCGAACAGCGACGTCGGTAATGCGTTTCACCGAGAGGGAGTTGCAATGCGTTTGCGAAAACCTCGAGTCAGAATGGCAACGGGACGAAGAATGATGATGGGCCTGGAGGGCGAGCTGGCGATCAAGCACCCAACACCTGGTAACGAAGCAACTGACCGACATCGACCCGTGGACGGCCCGTGCTGCTCCAGGGTGGCCAACATGGCCCAAGAAGCCAAATGGGTGGCCCCTATGAGTTTTCCCAGCGCCCTAAGACAACAATGTTACCCCCGACTGAGGCGTGAGAGAGCGGCAGCTGGAGTGCGGTCGGAAGGTACAGGCGGGCTCGCACGACCCACGAGGTGATCGCCACCGAAGTTGTCACCCTCCCGCGCCAGGGATACGGTGCAGGATAGCGTGATATCTCCTCCAGAAGGGGGGGGATGAGGTTCCCCTCGGGGGGGGGGGGGGGGGGGGGGGGGGGGGGGGGGATAACTTTATAGGGGGGTGGGGGGTGGTGGGATAACTTTTTCTGTTTTGGGATAACTTTTTATGGGTTTGGGATACTTTTTTATCCCCCTTCCCCCCGGCCCCATCGGGGGGGGGGGGGGGGGGGGGGATAGCTCCCCGACGCCGTCCTTATGACTCCCGCCAGCGACCCATAAGCTCAGCCGAGGTCTGCTACTGACCCTGAGCGGCGAGGGACAAATGCGCCCAGCAGCTCCTCGCTCGCAAAACCCGTCTCCTCGTCTCACTTCCCACCACTCCTCCTCCCTCTCGCCTTTCCCTCCCTGGCCCTCCCCCCAAGGAGCACGCTTTCAGAGTACGGGATGTTAGTTGCCTGTCGGGGCGGGTTGGTTGGCAGAGGGGGGGAATGGAGGAGGGGTGGGCGGGCGATGACGGGGGTGTGCGATGAGGGGAGGGTGGCAGGGAGATGAGGGGGCGCAGTAGGGGGCAGAAGAGGGGGGAGGGAAGGGAGATGGAGAGGAGGTGGATGAGGAGGTGCAGGAGGAGGGGGGAAGGCGAGCAGCCTTGCAGACTCCTGGTGCCCACATCCAGTCGTTGTTCGAAGCGGGCACCTAGCCTGAGACGCGGCGCAGCAAGACAAAGCTGCCAGTTCACAACACGTCCAACGGCTCGGACAAGCGGTCCGACCCGTCCTTGAACTCTGCCTCCCACCAGTCCTCCGCGTCCTCGACCTCGTCGAAGTCGAGCCTGGCAGCAGTGCGATCTTCGAGTGACGGCTCGAAGTCGCGATGATAGTCTCGATATCCATGGCAATCAAAAGAAAGCCATCCCCACAATAGACCGATGGGTCTAGATCTCCTGCAAGATTTGCTCTTCGTCGCCGTGCACTTTGCACGCGCTGCTCTCATGTCGTACCAGTCGGCACCTTTCGTTTGGGACAGTCGCAAATACGATTCCTTCCCTCCCTCGAGCTCCTCGAAGACCGCCCTCGGGAAGCGGCCGACTCGCTTTACGCGAGGCTTCTTGTCGTCGACGATGTCCTCGTCCGCCTCCTCGCCGCTGCTTGTGGCACTCGAACTCGAGCTCGAGGGCGAAGAAGACGAAGTCGAGCTCGACTTCTCGTCGAAGTCGTCGTCGCCGCCAGCGTCAGCAGCGTCGCTCTGCTCCTCGCATTCCTCCAGCACGGCCTCGAGCGCCTTCTCAAGGTCTACGCCCTCCCCCTTGTCGTCGGGCCCCTCACCGCCAACAGCGCCTCCGCCATCGTCAGGGGGTCCACCTTCACATCCATCGCCGTCTTCACCGTCCTTCCCTGGCACCACGCCAGCGGCCCACTTCCCGAGCTCGTCGAGCTTCACCTTCTTGGGCGCGTGTCCTGCCCTCTTCGTCTTGAAGAGCTTGTGGAGACGGGTACTTCGCATCTTCACGAGCACCCTGTCGGGCTGGAACGCGCCGATCAATGCCCCAGAGCTCACCACGTCGAACCAGGCGAGGCACCACTCCAGGTCATCTGCAAGGCTATCCACCCAGCCCCAATCAGTAAACGCAGCGTCACAAGAGAGCAGCCACACTTCTGCGGGGTCACGCTCCAAGTCCGGGGGGTTGTCGGCGATGCGGATCATGGCGTTCACCTTGGCAATGTCCAGAGGCCGCAGTTCGAGAAAGCCGAGGTGTCCTGGACTCAACGCGACGTCACTGACGTGCGCGAGACGCATGACAAGCGCCCCCTCCGCGTCCTGCCAGGAAGTCTTCCCGACAAACAGGCCGACCGCATCCCCAGACAAGAGCAACTTCTGGCCGCCACCGCTCTTCGGGAACTCAATCTTGGAACTCGCGAACATCTCGAGGTAAGCCTTCGCCGTCCTTGCCCCCCGCAGGCCGCAGAGGCACCTGTTCGCATGATAGCACACGCTGTGCTTCACTGGTGGCTTCTTGCTGATCGGGCCATCCACTGTAGGGTCGGGGATCGGGCATACCATCTGGCCGTAACGACCCCATGCTTTCAAGCACGCCTGCCGAACGGTGCCAACGTCTCTCCTTCCACGCGAGGACGCAGAGGTCATCGCCTTCGCCATCGAGAACGCCTCTGGGAAACGGACCTCCACGTGATGCAGCTCCCCTGGGGCGCTTGTCCCACCAACGTGAACAACGCGGCCACCGAACTCATCATTGAACAAGGCAGGTAAAGACTCAGCCGTGGAACGAAGGGCAGCACCTCCAAGCCCTTCTTGGTCAGCGTTGATCAGCTCCAGGTCGTCGGCCTCCTGCTTCAAGATAAGCCGCCTCTCCTGCTTGCACTCGGACTTGACGATCTCGTGCTGGCGAGCTGCTTCAACCAAGGGCATCGCTGCAAGGTTCGGGAGCTCGTGAACGACCATCGCACCGCCAGCGCTGGGTCCGAGATCACCCAGCTGCGCCCCGCCAGCCTCAGCTGCACGCCCTCGGACTGCCAAGTCTGCCTGCTCGTCTGCTTCGCGCTGTCGGATGAAGTCATGGATCTCCTGAAGCTGCGTCGGGTCATTCTTTGCAAGTCGATATTGGCGTGCAAGCTCGGATTGGCTGACCTGATCTCCAATAGGTTGGCCATGCGTCTTCATCGAAAAGAACCAATTCCATAATGATTTCCTGCGTGTCCTCCTCTGTGCCGCTGCCTCGGGCTGAGCAGCACGCCGGCCTGGTCGACCCCCCCGAAACCTAGAG